TCTCATCATACATAGCTCTTGTTATAGCCGCAAAAGTTCTGAACACATTAGTCTCGGATACAGAATAGATCCTACTGAAATGATCCGTTTAAATGAAATACAGATAATGGGAAAAAATTGGGAAGTTTTCGTAGAAAACGAATTTATGATTGGATGCTCATGCCACAGTACCCTGAAACCATTGAAGGTTTCATACTAAAATTAGACTATGGAAAGGTCAATTTCATCCATTTTTGGAAGCATCTGTTGCATAATAATTCAAGAGTACTAACAAAATATCCCGAAATAATGCACTCACAACGAAGTATTTGTAAATATTCGAAACGTTAATATTTGATTCCTTGAAATTTTTAGCAAACAAATGAGATTAGTTATTAATTTTTACCTAGAAAAAACAAATAGTACCCACAGAAAAAACTAAATTATTTAGAAAATAATTCACAAAAGCAACTTCTTGTCCACCAAAGCGTATACTTGAAAATACAAACTGAAAAAGGTTTTATTCTTTAAATGCAAATAAAGACACTGGCTTACTATTTACCGAAATCTAGTATTCAGAGAGACATAGATTTTAATATAAATTAGATTGCTCGAAAGCTACAGGCCTAAAGTAGAAATGTTTTCGTGGAGAACGTTTCAAGCGAAACTCAAGGTAAACCGTAAATCTCCCGCGTGGAGAGCTGTTCGCCGTTATTTGAGCTCGGTTCTAATTTCCAGTGTTCAACGGTTGTTCCGCACAGTCGCTGGAAAACCAGGAAATCATACAAGAACAGTCAACAAAATAGTAAATCCATTAGATAGCTCTGATTTAGAGTTTCAGTAGATTTCTTGTACGCATCCATTTAGATTAAAGGACAATTGCCATGCGCAAATAGGAATGGGCAAATCAAACAATTCATCGACAAAATTTCACAAATCGATTAATTTTTTTTTATTATGTAATCAGTTTTTTTTAATTATGTAAAACTCTACATATTTTATAATATCTCGATGACTGTTTCTCATGTCTTATGTTAAATGAGCGGATTGAAAAGAAATTCGCAGAAACATAACATACGTACTGTTTTTAATTCTTGCTCCTGAAAGTTTCTCAGCTTGGCCTTTTATGTGTTATACGAGGGTTGGATTCAATTATTTAGATTGTGGCAAATGATGGGAGAACTATCAGCCGAAATGAAAAATTACCTTCGTGGAGGACGAAAAGGATCATTTTCACTTACACACGGAGAAAATTGCTTTAACTACATCCAGCTAGTCTGACTGCTGAGATTTGAGAGCAGGGAAACTGTAAATATTCAGCAATCTTATCTACTCTTCACTAGATTATCTACACATAGCAAAGATTTTCGTTGCTTTATTTCTTATAGCTTTGCAAACGAACGAGAGCCATATATGCAAATTAAAAGCATTTTCTGAATTAAATGGGCAAATTATTGAGTACTCTAACACCTTTTGCTGAAAAGGAAATTCTTTCTGTGGTTTCACATCTTTGCGCGTGTTTCAAACTGATCCTGTATTTAATATTTTTTTAGTTTTTTGACTTTCATTTCTTTTCTTATGATAGATTCTCAATGGTCGTCTTATTCACATTAATTTATAGAAATCAGTTTGAATATGTGCAATAGTTTTTCTAGACTTTTAGAAATGCACGGAATCAGATTTTATCCTGTCTAAAAGTGTCAGTGAAATTGGAGAAAGTTTGACATTATGCATTCTTCATCTTCATCGTTTTTATCATTAGTTATATGAAGGATTCGGCTCCTTTCCAATGAAGTGATTGTCTTTCTCGTTTCCCGAATGAAGAGCATTCTTATGAAACAATTTGCAGTTCAAAATGACGCCAAAAGAAAAATTACCTTTACTTTACAAACGATAAAAAGATTTTAACGCTCTGAAGCAAAAAAAAAATGACCGATCAAATCGTACCAAAAGAAGTATAAAACCTATAATAACACTAAACATAATATCATCAAAATTGGTGATAAAAATATTCAGTCTTCATAAAGTAATATAAATAGTTTCTTTTAGCTGTCATAAGGCACTGAATATAGTATAAGTATATTTTTTCTGATGTCTGAGAACTGGTGGCGATATTAAAGATGTGGTAGGTCCAAGGAGGGATTGATAAGAGGTACACATGTCTGTATCAAAATATTCCCGGATTAGTTCTGTAACGTGCTCGAAAATGGCAGCGCACGGTTGCATTTGCAGATACAATGAATTGATTTTATAAGGCATAATGTCAAGAAATATTGCTGTGTTAATATCTGGAGTTGATTTAGTGGTGTTTTTGCAATCACTTGTATTTGGTATTCTGAGGATTATATTTCTATTTGTATCTGATGATTGTCACTTGTATTTAGTATCATGGACAGAAAAGTGGAACTAATCTGTGCAAATCAGCCCCGAGGACACTGTACATGTTTTGACAAGCTTACGGCGATGAAATAAGGAGTTGTACACTATGTTTTGGCTAAACAAGTTCTTCAAAGTGGAAGAACGTTTCATGAAGGTGATAAGCAATCCGAAAGACTTTGCATAACAGCCTCGAAAATGTGGAACGAATTCCGTAATTTACGCATGCGGATCATTCATCTCATTAGTTCAACGATCTTGCAGACTTTATTCGTAAGGCTCACAGGTAATTTTCACATCATCCAAGTGTTTGAAATGAACATGTCGCATGTCGTTGTCAGAGTCTTTCCAGACTCTTGACCCCTGGTGAACAGAGGAGTTTTGCGCCAAGATTTTTTTGAACACGCAACAGATAGTTCATACCCTACATAAAGGACTGGTAAAACTGTTCTGCACGAAAAGCAGGAATGTCGCTTTCTGCAGATGGCAGGAATGATGGAGCCATGCAAGGTGACTGTTTAGAAAGTGAGGATGATCAAATTTAGGCAAGTATTCTTTTTAACACTTTTTAACAACAGAGTTTCATTTGGTTTGTTTGATTATGGCATAGCACTCTTCCTAAGGGAATGGATGCCGACTTTCTAAGAAAAACTGACTCTTACACACGTTACAGATGATGAAAACCACGAAATCACCCATGCAGCCAGCCCGTTCATTAGAATTCGAAACCCGGATCGAACTACAAGTGTTCAGTGGCTTTTATCATTCGGTTCATATGGGAATAAAAGCGTCTAAGTATCGAAGAAATATACTAGTAATTGAGTACAAATATTGATCCACTGGTATTAGTCCGGGAATTTATTGATACAGTTTTGTACAGAAGTCTTAAATGGGAGAAGATGAAAAGCGTAGTCCATCCTCGTCTTCAGTTATATTCACTAGATAGGAACGTAATAAAATCTAGGCTTTCTACATCTGTCTCCTTCGATTGCAGAAAGCGAATTTCAGATATTTCTATTTTGTGTACCTGAATGGGAATACCTAAAATGACCAGACGTTTGAATACTTATGTTCACTTATTTTCACATTAGAAACATCTTTAAAGGAGTGTTTCTGAAATGCGCTGAGAGTTACGCTATGCTTTCATAAAAATACAAGAAAGGTTTTAAATTTTGTTTTTTCTTTTCAATTGTTGAACATATTTTTTCGTATTTCATTCTCTCAAGCTTTGGCACTGAAGTGCTTAATGACAATAAGACAATTTCGACATTCAAAAATACAGAAATTTTGTTTGAAATTACCTAATGATTTCTTAATTCACTTTTTACTTAAACTATTTTATTTATAAAACAAGCACAATATTATTGTTATATTGAAGTAAAAATTTAATTTTTATCCGCAAAAATGTATTTTTGGAAAAATTTTTTTGAGGTGCCTTTAAATGATAGACTTCAGATGTGTGATCTCTTTAAGTAGGAAGACATAAAGTTTTCTCTTTTCGTTAAAGCACTTTGAACCTGCGCTGTTATTTACAAAAACATTCAAAAATCCAAGTGAACTTGTAAATTGAAAATTAAAAAAAATAATAAACCTTTATCTATCTTTCCAAGCCTGAATGAATGTGTTTACACGAGTAAAATCCTACATTTAGGAGTGCTCGGTCCATCTATGGATATATTCAAGCCAATTTACCTTCGAATTTAGATATCAGAAAAGTTTCTTTGTTGCTAGCAGGCATAATTCTGAAAAGAAATGCTTGTACGTAATTCTGTTACCTCAAATCGAGCAAAATAATTACAAAATACATTCATAAAGCTTTATGCATATATTTAAAGAAAATCTTTTTTAAATATCTATTTAAAAATTAACCTGATTATGTTAGCTGACATCTGTTACCTTAACTTACTAGCACTTCGGAATTCGAGCCTAAACATGGGTGCTTATGTTATATGATACACGTTATATGTAACATGTTACATGTTTCGAAAGCAGCAACCTGTGTTTATTTTTTTAAATCAAAATTGGAAAATCGATTTTCGGATGGCTAATTTGGTTTCTTAATGGCCAAGAAGGTCAAGAAATTCTAAAAGCAAAATTAAATTGCTAAAGCAAAATAACATTTATTTTATGAAAGTTAAAAGCAAAACGAAATAAATGAAAAGGTTAAAAAAATGTTAATAATATTTAAAAGTTTGACTGTAATTAGAAAAGACTTTAGATTCGCAATAACAATAAAGACAAGGAATTACATTCTGCTAACACAGAAACGACCTTCCACGGTAACTTCTACAAGTGTGATTCTGCTTATTTAGCATTACGAAAAGAATTATAATCTATAGTTCAGGATGTCTTTAAACCAGGCATCAAATGTCTTCTACTAGTGCTGTGAAAAAAATAGGAAGACAGCTTTGATATTTAGGATGAGATGGAATCATCATCGAGTTTTATGGGGAGGGAAGGCATTCGACGACATTCAACGGCCAAATAGGTTGCAGCAATCTACACTAAACAAACTATCTATTAAAAAAGAGCCCCTGTAATGAGCTCAAATTAAAGGGTGTTACTTCTTTTCAAAACGTTTATTTTACTAAAAAAGGAAATAAATAAAATTAAGTAAAACGATAAAAAATAAAAACTTCGCATACCGCCGTACTTTGCAGGTGCGACACATTCTCCAGATCTCCAAGAGATGGCGCTGACAATACAATGGTCGATCGGAATGTAAGAAGAGCGCGAATTTTATATTTTATTCCGAGTTATTCTTTCATTGTCCCTCCCCCCTTTCTGGTGGCTCGTGGCTTGGCCTTTTGTTTAGGTAAAAAAGAGCTTAATTGCAAAAGGAAATGGGCTGTCTATGCTAGTAGGGGTGTTGTCTCAGAAAACTTCTGTATGACCTTTTTCCTCTAAAACACATCGGTAATGCGTAGGTTTGGGGTCTCCGGATTTTAACGATTCTTATTCGTGTTTTGTTGCTTCTTTTATTTTTGGTGCTTCTTTTATTATTATTATTTCCTGCCTATTTTTTGGCTGATTGCAATTTTTTTTGGCATCCAGGCTTCTTCCAAACATACGTTACAACAATGAAAAATGAAAATAAACCAGAGGAATAAGAAAGCGCAGTTCATAACAATCCGCCCACTCACTACGCCCCCCTCTATCACTATTATTGCTCTCCCCCCTCGACCGCGAGCGACACCTACCGTCTTCTATTTCAGTCGCACGTGCTGGGTCGCAGCGGTTCAACGTCATTACGTCCCTTTTAATCATCAGTTACAGTCACAGGAGGAAAAAGGAAATGAGAAATGAAATTATTAGGTAATGCTTTTCACGACCTCGTAAGCGCCCTCTAACAGAAAGAATTCATTTAAATTATAGAAGAAGCGTTTAATTTCGTTATTCTTAAGGGAGATTTTCCTTTCAATATCAACACTTCAATTTGGGAGTGACAACGAGAATGTATTGTTATCCTCATATCCATCTAAATAAAGCAAAGTAATTCAGATAATTACTAATACATCAATATATATTCACACATTAATAATTAGTTCGATTCGGACTAATAATTCATTTGGAAGTTCTTCAGTATTTATTATGTTTAGTCTGTTTACTCTACCCTATATCGTGTGATCTTGTTAAGCATTTTTCTTGATGTTTATCAATGTTCTTTCAGAAATATTTATCAAGTTTTTCATTTTACTGTCGAAATAATATACATGATGATTGCTTCAGAACGATTATCATAATTCCTATCATCGACTTCTTCATTAAAAAAAATGAAAAGAAAGAAAAAGAAACTATCGATATTTCAGCTAACAAATATCAGTACTGCCAATATATATTGAAAAATAGAATAACACACCAAAAATAACGTAACTATATTTGAGAAGCTCTGATGGAAAGAAATAAGGTGATCCATATCTAATTAAACCATAATTGTTAAGATACTTTTATTCATTGAAAAAATAAAATAATGCCAGTAAATTCCCGCAAATAAACTGAAATACAAAAATATCTATAAAGAAAATTCTATTTTACTCATTCAAAATCTAAACAACAAACTTTAAGTTTTGCTGTTTTTTTTTTAACTCTGATTATTTATTGTTGCTTTTTCTTTCAATTTTAATCCCTTGTGCCCTCTTGTGTTCTTAAATTTTAGTCCCTCATAAAAACACACATTCATCATTACAACAGTAGCGCAACTAAAGGTCAGCCACCTAAACTAGTAATTTCATGGATCTAGCTGATCATAATAATTGAAATGAATTCGCTTAGTTTGTTAGTTTAGCAGCAGATTAAATTTCAAAGGAAAATTAAATATCTTATGTTTTGCTGAACGATAGTACAATGTCTCGTGAAGAGAAAAATATTTCATTTCGAACACGGCAGCACATTTCTTTTAAATTACTTGATAATTTAATGATTAAATCCGAAAAACAAATGTATTGGCAAGTAGCAATACACTTCTTTTATATCGCCGACTTTCCCTGACTAAATTTTTAAATTTGAAATGTAACTATCTCATGCTTTGCGAAGTGGCAGCACAAAACTCTCAAATCACTGAATTTTTAAATCAAAAGTTCCATAAACTTGTGCAAAATACAAAATAAATTAAAAGGAAATTCGAAATGAAGAATTCAGACTTCGAGGCACGGATGTTCGAGTGGAGATTACATATACTGAAAATTCATTGGCTGTAAGTGCCGCCGTTTTTCCACAATGGGGCGGGGAACAAACACTATACAGATTCTTCATTATTTAATAACATAGGTATACGTGACGAAATAATATCTGAGTTGATTTCGAGTATCTTTTACAAACATGAAATTTATTAAATTCAAAATAAATAAAATGCAATATTTGTAATTCAAAATCTGAACTTCGAAGTGCATATGTTCCAATGCAGAACTACGTGTCTTCAAAAATTTTTGGTTGTAGGTGGCAACCGTCTTTTAACAGTTCGACAAAGTCTCATACTCGAAGATTCTTCATTTTAGCACAGTAAACATTGGTTAAATTTAGTGATGGACAGTGTCTAAACCTTATCGAATGCCCATCGTAAAATGTCTTCGAATCTTGCGAATCTCGAACCTCTCAAATTTTTCATAAAAGAATATATGAAAAAAATCAGTTAGTATTTTTAATTTAAAACAAAGTCTGAAATTTGTGTTTAATGAAAGACAAATTTAAGAAAGCAGTTTTACAAGAACATATGAATGAAGTTTAGCAAAAGGAATCTATAACTGAAATTCCTGAAACCTGAAGCATATGTATTATAGAGAGACTACAAAAGTTTAAAAAAAAATTTTGAAACAACTTTTCAGACTTGAAAGAAAGTAAATTTAAAATTAGTTTCATTTTGAAATTTTTCAATAAAAAATTTTAGTTTTTTAAATGAATTTTTTTAATTCAGTGCTTTTAATTAGAAGAAATTATGAATTACATAAAAACGGAACAAAAATACAATTAATCAACATTATGAAGAGTAGATAGATCAATTGACATCATTTCTTAGAAGCAGCATTTTGCGCAGAAATAATTTTAAGAACTTTTTGTCTTAAAAATTTCTACAACTACATATATATACGGAGATACATAAAGAAACATAATAAGAGGCTAAAAATTAAAAAAAAAGTATTTATACCTGGCCTGTGCTATATAGCTGCAGGATTGAAGTAAAATAAAGCATCAAAAGTTAAAAGTAAACTGCAGTCAAAGAAAGGCAATTCTTCAGCAATATTAATAATTGCACCTGCGTATAAGAGGTTTAATACAATATCCAAAACAAATAAAAATTAAAATAAGAATTCATAGTAGTACAAACTCTAATAATAAAACTGCAAAAGGGAAAAAATATACAAGATAATAAAAATATAAAAATTAAACCCTTTTTACTGAAACTCCAATTCAGAATTCATCGGGGGAAAAATGAATTAAAACTTCATAAAAGTCGATTTATATGTTTCGAAAACGTGTTTCGTTCTCCTGGTTCATTTGAGATCAAAAACCGAAAAAAGAATCTATTAAATTTTCATCTAAGACATGAAAATTCATATAAAGCCAAAAAATTGTATCTCAGATGTAGCAGAACTTTCCCTACAAGCCTTTGAAACACTTGGAAAAAAGAATAGAACATAATATTGTGCCTAATTGGCTACTCCAAAAAAAAAAAAAAAAAAAAAAAAAAGAGCAAAACAAATATACTTTTAACTAAATTGTCATTTAAGCAACACTCAAAAATTGGGTGGTCCCCGATTATGCTAGACTAAACTTTTAAGGCCAAGAAAACGAAAAACTTTTCATAGAGATTTCTTTAAATAATAAAATCAAATTTGAGCTTTAATCAGCTAAAAACTGAAAACAAATTAGAAAGAAAAATTGAAAAAAACGCCAACTTACTAAAATCTTAGGCCGACATTCTAAACGAAAATTTACTGAATTCTTCAGACGACCAAACTATGTTCCTTGTAGAATTCAAAGCTGCTCTTGAGAAGCAAAAAATTATAGTTCTTGGAAAAAGTACGCGATAAGGTTCAAAGTGTCCAATAGCAAAACTAAGTATTTAAATATATGTACAAAATTTCATATCATGTAAACTTTGTGTGCGAGGGTGCCGAACACTGGGCGCGGTCTGTAAAAATTAATACCTGCTGGGAGGGTGATCGTCGACTCCAAAACGGCGGCGTAAGAAACTTCTAAAAAATGCTGTCTTCTGTAAAATCTTAAAACTCGAAATAAATGAAAAGCAATAAACGAAAGCAGTACTGGCTACAAATAAGCGAAAGCAGTACTGGCTCAAAGTTGAGAAAAAGGAAAAATATATGTTATAAAAGATAAAAGTCTTCGGGTAATCGGGGTACAATACGTCTCTGAAACTGAAAAACGCCATTCTTTTAGTAAAAGCTAGAAGATTTTCCAGTTAATGGATACTTCTACTGCATGTTAATAAAAACATATTTCCGAAGTTTGCTTTTGAAAATGGAACGGTTTTTTTAGGTTAGGCTTCGAAAGTTTCAAATAATAAAAAAATATGCGAAGACTCGAACTTGGAATCTTGGAGAAGATTCTGAGGATACGAGAATTCAAATATCTTATCTTTAGATTGTAAGGACTTTAAGTTTTACTAACCTTTATTTTATTTTAAAACTTTGCTATCCTCTCTTATTCCATTTCCGGCCAGAATAAACGCGAACAGATTTGGTTATGCAAATTGAGCTTGTAAACTGTTAAGTATTTAAGTTGAGGTCAGAGAACTTAGTTATTTTTGATACTTGAAGACGTATTGTAGTTTCCCGCATTCTGCTCACTACATACGTAAAGTTTAAAAGGTTACTAGTTACTAGTCTTAAGGTTTAAAAGGTTAAACGGTTACTTCATGTTACTAGTCTTAGTAAAATATATGAATTTAGTTCTTATTTAATTTAGTTTTAGTTCTTATTTTTTATGTTTCAGACCATAAGTACTGGTCTTTGCATCTCGAAGTGCGGGAACGGCTGTAAACTGTGAGAAATAAAGGGCAATTAAACCCTTCCCATTTGTGTTGTATCTTCTAACCTTCCCACTTGCACGAACATAGTTTTAAGTAAACTCCCTGTTCCTACTCAGGACTCCAGTTATGTTTACAAAGGCGATTAGAAGAAATAGTAGTCCTGATAAGGTAAATTTAACTTTTGCTAGAGTTAATTTTCGATTACAAATGGTTTTATATATAGTCATTTCCTGATTAATCGTAGGGTTGATTAATCGGGTGCAAGTAATCAGGCTATGTCAAAAAAAGTGTTAAGTTTATTGTAG